CTCTAATTTAACTCGGTCACAAGCTCAATCATATTCATTCTGGAGAGGCCAAATGAAGCTGCGTGCATGTCTCTTACAACGAGGCCCACTGTTTTTTTTTGTTGTTCATGAAATATGCACGTGTAGCGGCCGTTTTTTTAAATAAGATTTTTGCTTCCATCTCGCTCTGACAAAATGCCCTCTTTGTCGCACAGAGCATCATCGCCTGACCTTCCCCTTTCTTTAGCCCCCTCAATGCCGCGTTCCTCACAAATAATGGACTGTGCCGTCTTGGGTCGAATATAACTTGAACATCGTGGGACGTACGTAAATTTAGCTGCGACCGCAGCCACGGGACGAACTCCGCCTTTAAGCCGAGGAGAGGGAGAAGCCACGGGGGGAACGGTCCAAACTTCTATGCGCGGCTCAAATGGGCAGGTGGTCAGGCGGCAGGGCAGGCTTCACGTCGCCTTGGGAGAATTCAGAATTTGTAAATTAAAGTCTAAGCGTCTCGTCGCTTAAATTAGCGCTGGGCAAGCGCAACGCGTCTGTTTGAGAATCTGAGCCACTGCGGTCTAAAACTCCACATTCCTTGAGCGCTTGGGTGGATGGGGTGAGTGGGGGAAGTCACTTCATAAGGGTGGCCACGTAAGTGGCATTCGTCCACTTTTATCAACCCCTTGTTCCCGGGCTTCGTTTGGGAGACGTCAATCCCTTCTCTTTTCGCTTCATGCGGTTGAAGTGTCGACGCCGCACGGACGCACGTTCTCACAGATATCTTATCCAACAGCCTGGGGTACGTGTGTCACAGTCGGCATCTAAAAAGTCACCCAATCAGCAATTATATGCATTATCACAATTTGAGGTAAAAAAAAATCGATTACTCTATTTCTATTTTCGCGATATAACCCCAAAAAACATTGATTATGAATATTGGTCGTGAAAGCCTACATGTTAATTTTTCCCCTTTTTTTACCATTTTATTTGTATTGTATAATTGTCTCATTTGTATAGATTTGTGTCCGTTGGTTTTCCTCAATGTAGCCGTTTTGTATATGATATGCATGTCATTTACATAAATCGTTAATAATTACTTGTCATACCACACATTCATATCTTGTGAGCATATGAATCAATTTAAAAGTCAATCACATATTTTCAACAACAAAGCGAATGCGGTACGCAAGAACAGTCCACTGTATTCGGTACAAACGAAGGGATCCAAAGTAAAACCCCGTTGTGTCCTAAGACAGGAAAGAGAAAATGGAGAAAATGAAGAGAAGAATAACGGAGAGAGTTACGATCAGAAAATTCATCAAGGGGTAAAATGATAGAGCCAGCGGTGGTGGCGTAGAAATGGGATTAAAAAAAAAAGTTTTTATTACAACTCAAAGCGAGCCCGATACAAAGCGTCGATCACTGCACTAAGGGAGTGCAGGGAACGAAAGCAGCCCGAGTTCGACATGACAGGGCCCAATGAAGGGGGGAAGGAATCCGTTTTAATCGATGAGGCGGCGCGTCGGTGAAGTGCGAGGTGGCGTGTCGTTCAGCGCGGTGACAATGAGAATGGGGTTAGAGGTCACTGCGCTCGTTCACGGTAACTCTCACTGCACCGTGATTCCTGCTGTTTGCAAGGCCGTTACAGAAGGAGGGGATGAAACATCCATGGTGGTAGCCTTTCATCACCCAACCACCACCACCACCAATGGGCCGGTCTCCCTGCCTCCCACCACAACTCAGCTCTCTTCTTCCTCCAATCTCCTTGCGCCCCCCTGCCTCGATCGCCGCCAGTCCCCCACCTCGATCCCCTCTCACCGTACATCAAACCTCGGGCCACTCTCACTCATTACCTAACAGCCCCCTATGCTCCGACTGTAACCCCGTGCCATTGCCTGTTCTATTTTGGAACTCCAGCAATGACAGTATGGTTAATCTGGCCGATGCCACAACAAACGACCCGTTACCAAGTCGCTGCCAATAATGACGTGCCTGGTCTCTTGTCCCGTAGACCAGGGCATGGATACCGTGCAGGAGAAGTTTCGAATGTGATAGGGGAACTTTGGCGCCACGTTGACGCGACCAGGCACGCTGGTACATGGCATGAAAACAAACGCCGGTGATTCGAGGCGAGGATACGTGGTCTTCCAGTGCACCATGGCTTCGGTGGCCGAAGTTGAGTCTCGACTACGGGGCCCGCCATGCCAGAAATGTTGAGAACCACTGCCGTAAACGTTTTTTCCTATGTCCAGTGCTCGGATCCTTCATTGCTCCTCGTATACATCACTGCTCCCCCCACACACCTCCCGTACAGGGCTTAAATTCTCACGGTCGACTTATCTTACGTGACTCGTAGCCACAGCCATAGTGAGAGCTGCACTGGATGTGCGGGCAAGAAAAAAAAATTATAATTATTTTGGGTTAGCGACCCCGACCGAACTTGCTGTAATGAAGCCCTACTCCACATGGAAAAAAAAAACTCTCGCAAGGAAACTGAACTGAATTGGGCCACTAATCCAGTGCACTCCTGCTGCAAGGCGTCAGTAGTTCGCGCAGAGATTTGCATGAATCTCCCAAAAGAAACCCACCGGGCTCTTTGGAGGCCAAGGAGTGGCGGTACAGCAAGTGGATGTCGTGAACCTGTCCGCATGGAGCGCTGTCCCCTCATATGGTGTGGGTACGCCTCTGGATGATCCTCTTCATGCGAACTACTCGATGAGGGATTGACCAAAAACAATGTTGTGACCCTTCTGATTGAAGGCGTTACATTGCTGTTATTAGTGAAAAGGCAAAAGGGTGCAGCCCTGCAATCGCTTGTTCACGCCATCGCTGGCGGAAGGGCTTCCAATAGAGGCAACCTCGGGGGGGGGGGGGGGTGTATGCTTTGGCCTACTCTTCCACGCTGGGCTGACGTCTCGGGCGACGTATCCACACTCTGCCCCATCGCTCCGCGAACCTGCCAATCGGCGATAGCCGTGGTTATGGTCAAACAAACCCCTCTGACTTTCGCGGCTTGGGGCAGCAGTAGTGGCGGTGTGGCAGGTGGGGGGGGGAGGCCTTCATGCAGCAGTGGATTGATCATAAGTGTAAATAATTGCGTAGGTCAGATAGAGGCATGAACAGTGTTGGTGGCGCGATGTGATGAATGGGTTTGACCAGATAAGTGCATAATGCATCGTAAATCTGAGCCGTTGTGAGATTAATCCCTGGAGGCAAAGCAACAGTGGCCATTGGTCTCTAGATCGACCAGCAACCTCCCTCCATCTCCCCCCACCACCTCTCCGTGATCTGCAGCTTACACCTAAACGCTCCCCCCCCACACTCCCCACCAATTTACTATGCCTCCACCCCCCAGTCTGCAGTGTGGAAAGCCGGCTGAATTTTAATCCTCCCTTTATGCGTATCAGAATAGCGTGGCTCACAAAAGAATTCTGTCCATAAAAATGGCAGCGTGCGTTGCGTGCTCGCGCGGAGCGGTGGCGCAGTGGTGAGCGCACTGCGTTACGAATCCGGCGGCCCGCTCGCAGCCAACGTGGGTGACGGATATCTGTACCGGTCCTGCGCCTCCGCTAATTGAGTACCTGTGAAGGCTGACCCCGGGGCACGAGAGGGCTGGTGTGGTCACGACCACGCCTGGCCGCCTTTGTCTCCCCAGATATGATGTTTGTGTCCTGAGAGATTGCGTTTACACACTGCATCAGGTACTCATTCGAGGCTGAGTCAACCCAGGGGAAGCCCAGGACCGCTTCAAATATTCGTCGGAATTAAAATCTCGGGTCGAGGGGTTCGTAGCGCAGTGCGCAAAGCATCACGCTCCAGGCACACGCACGCTAACATGCACACATGCTCATATCCACACGTGTGTGTGTTCGCACGGTCGTGCAGTGGTTCGCGCACTGCACTACAAACCCGGCGAAACGAGTTCAATTCCCGTTCACAGCCAACACCAGTGACGATTATCTGAACCAGTCCTGGGCCTCCCCAAGGTCGACTAAGCCTTAAATGAGTAGGCTGAAGCAGTGTGTAAACAGACTCTCGGGACACTGGGGAGACGAAGGCAGCCATTGTATGTATGTTGAACATCTTTCACAATCGGAGGTGTGGTGCTGGCCACACCAGCGAGTTGTTATCTCCCTTGCCTGGTATGCAGGAGGTCAGAATCAGATTGTGTATTTAGACAAAAGGTATCTGATTAGCTATGAAGTCTCTTTTCCAGAGATGTCCAGTAGACATCTGGGTTCGGTCCCGGCCCTGACGCCTGCTGTATATTTGGAGTATGCATGTTCTCCCCGCGGTCGCGTGGATTATTCTCCGTTTCCTCCGGTTTTCCCCTCCACATTTAGAAACGTGCGTTTAAATTATGTGGCTGCAATAAATTTCCACAAGATATGGCCAGGTCGTTTCTGAAAAACAGTTAATAGCTCAGTGGACTTTAGGGTTCGTGAACTTGTCTGCACGGAGTGTTATCTCCTCACGTGTGGGTATTCCTATGGATGCTCCACTTTATGCAAGCATACTCAATAAGGAATTGACCAGAAAGACTGCGTGACCCTCCTGATTAAATATATCACTATTTTTATTGAAAATGGTAAAGGTGCAACCTTTCAATTGCTTGCTCACGGCAACGATGGCAGAAGAACGTGTTGATGGATTAGGCGGGAAGTGTAAAAACAGCACAATGGAAGATTTGCGGTGTTCCCCCGGAGTGGATGAGCTGGGTTAAGCGTGTTGATGGATTTGACACAGGCGGTTCGTAAATTTCATCCCAGAAAGTCCAGTTGTGCCATTTGGCACGCCACATCCACCCCCCCACCTTCTTTGTCCTCATCGTACCCCGCAAATCCCATAAACATGTTTATAGGAATGTAGGGTACAGTAACATTATTATGCATAGGCAATACCTTGTGCTCTCGTGGTAGTGCCTTACACAGACAATCCCGCATGCCAACGTAACCCCCTTGTCTCCCTTCCCGCATTCCCTGTCCCCCGCGTTCTGCCGCCCCCCGCGTTTCGCCGCCGCGCAGGCCAAGATCATCGTGCCCAACACGACGGCGGGCCTTCTCATCGGCAAGGGCGGCGCCACCGTCAAGTGGATCATGGAGCAGTCGGGGGCCTGGGTGCAGCTGTCGCAGAAGCCGGAGGGCGGCATGCTGGTGGCGGGCGGCGTGGTGGCGGCCGCTGCCGCCGCTGCGGCTGCCGCGGCCGCAGGCGGTGGGCCGCCCGGCGTGGCGCTTGGTGGCCTGCAGGAGCGCGTCGTGACGGTGAGCAGAATCAAAATCAGTATATTTACTTATACCGGAGGAATCCGATGAACTATGAAACTCTTTTTCACAGATGTCCAGGTGTGGTGGGTAATAATGTTACAACAACAAGCAATACAAAAACATGATGGTAGTGCAAAACCCATAAATAAACAAAAAAACTAAACCATCCCCATCCTACCAGCCAAAGCCCACTGAGGTATTAACTTATTTTTCAGAATTGACCTGGCCACAGATGATACCTCGACAAAGTGGCTTATCATTTGGACATTTATAGTAGCAAAATAATCGAAATAATGCCGCTGGTTCCGGTGCCACCGGTCCGGTTCAGGGGTGGATTTTTGTTGAATCCGGCAAAAAAAGTCGAGGAAAGGCCCGGGATGGCAATCCGTGAAATGGCAGAACCGGTAACGTGAGATGACGTACAGCAAAATTAAGTGAATAGAAATCGGGGGGTAAAAACGATTGCATTCACAAAAGTTGGCTTGAGCAAAACATTTTTTTTTAATCGTTGACATTTCTGCAACCACCCAACTCTGTAGCATGACCTTGCTTAAGAGAGTGGGGTGGGAGGGGGTGCAGGTGATTCTCGAGACTGTGTAGCATCGCTTTTAAACGAAAGAACTCGACACATTCGTCGGCAACAAGGCGGAGAAAAATGTCTCCGCTGGGAATAAATGCCATTGCCCGAAACGTCGCCTATCGGTGTCCCTGACGAACTTGTTGAGTGTTTGTTAGTTGCGTTCGTGCCCCACTGCCAACGAAGCAACAGCAGCAGCAGCAGCATCTTCGCAGTGTTAGTCGTCGTCATCGTTGTTGTTTAAACAAACGCGAGACGCTAAACAAAACGAGCAGAGACACAATCGTCGCTTGTTCATGGTGCCGTGGCTCGCGCGCCTCCTCGGTACACGAGGAAAGGGCGGAGCGTCGCGCATTGCCGAATGTTTGTAACGGTGTTTTTGTTGACTTGACTATAATAATTAAGAAGGGGGCCAAGCTGTATTTAGTTCGGGGGGAGGTGGGGGGCTCCACCCCCTCCAACCATCCACAGCCCCCCCCTTCCCCCGAAACACGATGGGGCTGCCACGCTAATGACGCTGCCGATGCCCCCAACGTTGCCGACGCGTGGGCTGCTGGGGAAGTGAGAATCGGGGAGGGGGGAGGTGTGGAGCAGAGCGGAGAGATCGAGAAGGAAGCTGCTGAAGTGCAGAGCTGGGCGTCGTACATCCAGGGACCGTAGTTGTTCACGTTCCTAGAGATTGAGTAATTAAACCAGTCGCTGGTCAACTGCAGTAGGAAGCAGTAGCCATAGCGAAAGGTATACCAGGTGTGGCGTGCGAGGTGCGTAAATAATATTTTCCGGGTGGTCGACTCAGACAGACCCTGGTAATAACACGGACACAAACGCGCACACTCCCCCTCTGCCCCCCCCCCCCGACACCGTGGCTCAGGTGAGCGGCGAGCGTGAGCAGGCGCGCCGCGCTGTGCAGCTCATCGTGCAGAAGATCCAGGAGGACCCGCAGAGCGGCAGCTGCCTTAACGTGAGCTACGCCGGCATCACAGGGCCCGTGGCCAACGCCAATCCCACCGGCTCCCCCTACGCGGGCCCCACGCCCGGCGTGGGCCAGGCGGACGTGCTGCCCGCGGCTCTCACCGCCAGCCTCTTCGGCCATTCGGGCCTGGCGGCGGCGGCCGGCGTCTCGCCCTTCCAGACCGCCGTGCTCCCCACGTGCTTCGGCGGCACGGACCACCTGGTGGCCATCTCGTCGGCGCTCAGCACGCTGGCGGGCTACGGCTACGGCCTGCCATCCTCGGCCGCCGCGGGACACCCGGGACTGACCCTGGGCCTCACCAGCCCGGCCACGGCCGCGGCGGTGGCGGCGGCGCAGGCCCACGCGCACCACCACCATCACGCTCACCACGCCGCTCACCACCATCACCACGGCGGCGGGGCCCCCGGCGCCGTGCCGCTCTCGGTGCCGTCCATGCCCTCAGCGGCCGCCGCCGCTGCCGCCATGCTGGGCGCCAACCTGGCGGCCGCCAACCTCCTGGCCGGATACGGCGACCCCGCCGCCATGGCCGGCGCGGCGCCGCCAGTGGGCGCCGCGTCGCCATACCCCCTCGCCGGCATCGCCCCCGTTGGCGCGGCCGGCGGGGGAGGTGGCTGCGGCAGCGGCGGCGGCGGAGGCGGGGGGCCGTACGGCGGCTCGCCGCTCATGGCCGGCGCACTCCTCGCCGCAACCACCGGCGGCGGTGGTGGCAGTAAGCACGGCCATGCAGCCCCGGCGTCGGCCGAGCCCGACAAGGATTCGGCGGCGGCAGCGGCGGCGGCGGCGGTGGCGTCCGGGACAGCGGTGGAGATTAACGTGCCAGAGACGCTGGTGGGCGCCATCCTGGGCAAGGGCGGGAAGACGCTGGTGGAGTACCAGGAGGTGACGGGCGCGCGCATACAGATCTCCAAGAAGGGCGACTTCGTACCGGGCACGCGCAACCGAAGGGTGACCATCACAGGCCCGCCGGCGTCCACGCACGCCGCGCAGTACCTCATCACGCAGCGGCTGCAGTACGAGCAGGGCCTGCGGGCCGTCAACCCGCAGAAGGTCGGCTAGTGGAGGGCTGGCGCGCAGCCCGCGGCCCACAGCCCATGGTGCTGGAGGCGGTGGTGGTTTACAGGTAGGGGCTCGGATATGAGCGGAACCAACGAAAATGATACAGGGTGTCCGTAAACGCGCCGCCCATTGTTGAATTTTAATTACGCAGTGGTTTGAGTCGTGTTCAACCCGCTGTCCAATCACAATTCATGAGCAGTGGTGGGCGATACCTTTACGGGCACGCTGTGCGACGACGGTTTCGTCATCGTTGCTGTTGCAATTTTCGCCCCGGGTAGGATGGGGGGGGGATGTGAAGCGGGTGGGGGATGTGAAGCGGGGGGGGGGAGATGCGAGGCAGGGGGGTGGGGGGGGGAGATTTCAACAGCCTACGCGGCTTCGGTGCCGTTGATTGTCCCAGGGCTCAGGGGTCAGAGGTCGAGGCTTGTAGATGTTATTATGCTCGGATTACGATGACGAATTGTTTTCCCAGTGTTTGTGCTGAATGTGACTAACTTTTGTTTTTACGCTTGTCAGGAAAGTCCGGTTCGTTTACCTTGCGTTAGTTTTCCAGTTGGCTTCTTGCGTCGCCAGAGTTCGCCCGCTCGCCCGCCCGCCCGCTCGCCCGCCCGCTCGCCCGCCCGCTCGCGCGTGTGCCGGACTGGGCAGGCGTCGTCGGCGAGAGGCGAAGTGGAAAAGCGACAGCATCGATGTTCGAAAGCGAACAACGGCGACGCCCGCGTGAGGTGGCGCAAACGTTAACGCGCCGCCGATGTCTAAAGCTCGCGGTCTCACATCGATTACGGTAAAAACTGGAAAACGCATTTTAGATTAGGTTCGTCCGTAAACTGTACTCTCTCTCCTCCTCCTCCTTGCTCGCTCCTCACGGTTCCTTTCTGCTCGCCCCAGGGGGAGTGACAGTGGGCGGCTCGCTGGAGCGGCATTTCCGTAGTTTATCGTTTAGTAAATTTTCAACGTCTATTTTTGTGATGCTCTTCGTTTCTCATTTGAATACCAACAACAAAAACAAAAAATGAAAAAAAAATAGAAAAAAAATGTACGTGTTGAAAAAAAACATGCCACTTTTTTTTATCATACCAGATATTATTTCAGCCGTCTTTTACACTTTATTTTGAGCATGACAGTGGTGAGTGTCCAGGCTACAGTGAACAAGTGCTCCCCCTGACTACAACCGCGAATACGACCGCTGCCGGCGTTTCGATCCCCGTCGTTGTGAACTGTGCGCGATCCCGTAGCGGCCGTGTTCACTCAGTGATTTTACATTTCGTGAAAACGTTTTCCGTTTCCACACCATGGGGTTTCTCATTTTAACGTTCGGCCGGGAGGAGAACGCTGACGGTGCGCGGTCTCGTCACTGTCGTCGCCGTTCGCTTCAAAATCCTCGACCCAAGAACGCTGAGGTGCTCATTGATCCACTAACGGTGGCCCCCAGCTAGCTACGCGTGTCGTGTCTGTGGATTGACTCCGTTGCAGCCGCATTTTTTTGCAAAGTTAACCTTTCGTAACCGGGTCACATTACGTATGAGTCGTTAACATTACGTATGCAGCGGTACGTGCTCATGTTTTCTTTTTGTTTTTACTCGGTGAAACGACCACTAACTTGACCGTTAGTATTACGATCGTGGCCAGATACTCGGTGTGTTTGTAAGTTTGTTTTTTAACGATTACTTTTATTTCCCCCCCCCACCCCCGCGTGCATTTAGTTAGAACATTCATTTTGTAATTTAACATCACGCGTTTTTACATTCAACTTGTTGTATTTTTTTTGTTGTAAAACGTCTTCTCGAGAATGGATGTTTTTAATTTGTTTTATTTTATATACACTGTATTATACATTAATATTTATGTGACGGATGTTTTTTTTTTTGGGAGGGCAATTTTAGTTTTGTTTGCTACATGACCACGATGGGGTTTTTTTTGGGGCGGGGTAAAAATGAGGGTCGTCTAAATTTGCTGGGAGAAGGTACCTCGTTAAATCGACGAGGTCCTCATATCACATTCGTCGACAGACTTGAACCCTGACCCCCCGCCCCCCCCCCTCCTTGTGTTGGGCATAGTGGAGCACGAGACGACCTTCTTGGGCAAGTTGCAAAAGTGCAATAGGGTCATTACATTATATTTACCTGACAAAAAAAGTAACATTTCAATCGAAACATGTGACTTCACACTACGAACCAGTTTGGATGGGGCGATAAATAGCCGGACTAGTTGAATGGAAAAAAATATATCTATTCAACGTCAAAAAACTAAACTTTAATTTTCAACGTTTTGATTCCGTTCAGCAATTGTTGATCGAATTAAGCGTTAAGACAGTGATATTATTTAATTTTGTAAAATGCCAAGACCTGCCAAATACTGTTATTAAGACTAATCAGTTTACAGTTTAATTGTGTAATTTAATCTTTAAACTAATGATTATAAATACAAATTTTAACAAATATGTGCTTACGTGCCAAGAATATCTTTGCAAAAAAAAATATGAATGGATAAGGATCGTAATAGTAATAATCATGATAATGTAATAAAAACTAATAATAATATTTACAGCAATTACCAGATGTACAAGTCAGTATTTTCTATACCGAGGAATTGTGAATTCCGTGCGTACTTCGTATGTGTCCAAGCTTTTTGCTAGCAGCTCGAATATATTTTATGTACACTCTACACTCTGGCTCGATAACAATACAGAATATATGAACACTCAACAGTGATCTCTCAAGACAGCGTCGAAGAGATTGAGATTTTCTCGTGAACATACGCCGTGCGATGGGGTTTTAAGAGATTATGGACTGCCCGTTGCATACGTTGTTCTAGTATTCTTCTGAGCAGTGTTTTGCTTTGCCTCAGTGGTAGACTCGAGGCACAACACAAACGGCTCTTACCCTCTAGATACACGAACACGCACGCGCGCAAGGCTGCGTCCTGGGCTGTCAGAAACACAAGGCTTGCGTGCAGTTTTCATCAATGACAAACAGGAACAGCTGCCATCAAAGACGTCCCCGACGCTAAAACTACAGCTGAGCAGTGTGGAACGTCTGACACGAGACGTGATAAGTTTGCCGATTAATTTTAAGGGCCCTGTAAATGTAAAATCATTATCGTTTGAAGTCAATGTCGGGCCACAACACCATAGCACTCGAATGACATCACTCCAGTCTTGAGTTCAAAGTATGAGTGGGACGAATTATCTCTCCCCCCCACCACCACCACCTCGCCAACGCGTGCTGATGAATTATCGAGACTCAAGCATTCGACGATCACTTTAAAATAATATTTTAGTTTTCACTTCGCAACGAGTGGGGGCAGCTCTCGAGGCGGCGGCGGGGGTCTGTCACCACGTTCCTCTACAGGCCGCCTGTTACGAGGGGCACTCGGAATGGGTTCGCCAATTTTTTTTATTAGTAATCATCACTTGCCTCAATATTGCACTATTGAATGCCCAAAAGACTACACTGCGACGGACATTGATAGGGTTGTTTTCTTCTGATAAACGACGATGAACGCAACACTATTGTTGCTTCACTCGCAAACTACTGAAATAAGGGGCCGTCCGTAAATGACGTCACGCACCTGGGGGGGTGGGCGGGTTCAGACATTTGTGACGAGGTGGGGGGGTGTTTGAGAAATGTGACGTCACGTCAAAATGCGCAACTTTAAATAAATACAGACAACGCGTTCTACTTAATAAAATAGACTTTCTAATACAAGTCTCATCCTACAACATCAGAGTGCAGCGCCACATTAAATACGCACTACAATGACAATAGTTTAAAGCGATTTGAAACATATGCTTAGTTCTTTCGGTAAAGTCACGTTGAAGGGAAACAACAAAATAATAAAATATATATAAAACAATAAAAATTCTCGACCGTTTGTGTTATGGTCGAAACGTCGTGAGAATTTTTATTGTTTTATATATATTTTATTATTTTGTTGTTTCCCTTCAACGTGACTTTACCGAAAGAACTAAGAATATGAATTACTGCAGTCACGAAAGCTTTAAATCAAGATTTGAAACATGTTTTATGGTTTTGGAGGGGGGGAGGGGGTAGAGCTTTGTGACGTCATATTTGAGAGAGAGGGGGGGGTGTCTGACTTTTTGTAACGCCGCGTGACGAGGAGGGGGGGGGGTCAAAAATCGTTCAAAATCGCGTGACGTCATTTATGGACTGCCCCTAAGACAAAAAAAGAATTGGCTCCAGCCCACACGTCACGAGAGTAGCGACGCAACGAGCCGCATAATTCGAGGCGGCAGAATCCCAGCTTTGTTTCGAAGCGTCCACGCATCTCGACGGTGCGGCTGTAAATTGTGTGCACGTTTAGCAAAGGCGCTGGGTGGTGCGATGGCGTTACGGAGCCGATCTATCATATCAAACGTTGTTGGTTGTCGTTCTTCATTTTTTTGCGCCGCACTTCCAAAATATAATATGAAAAAAATATATATGTGAAAATCTAGCCATGTAGGGAACTGGTAGTTTCTTTTAAAATATATAAAATGTGTAGCTCATGACCCTTAAAAAGTCGCCGTGTTTTTTTTCCTCCAAGTACGGTTTGTGTATTGACCTCTGAGGCGACGTGTGGAGCGAGGATTGCGAAGCCCGTGTCATTCTCTCTCTCTCCACCGCGGTGGTTTAGTGCGATTTACAAAATGATATCACCTCCCTTCCAATCGCAGTCCTTAATTCGAACGCTCACTCGGTTTCTTGTTTTTGTTAGTTGTACAAACTCGATAGCCGTACGTGGAATGTTCAGTTGTTCGCAGTACAATATGGGTGTATTTTTTTTTTTCACGGATTACCAATTTTATTTTGCGCACACTTTTCCCGGAGCGGCAGATTCATCTCTGATTGGCTTGCTTGTTGTTTTTATGTCGAAGGAATTTTTTTTATTTAAATAATAATTTCACAAGCAAAATTTACAAAACGAGAGTTGTGAACGGTGATTGATGCCAGTTTGACATCATCACTGATTAGAAATTCCACAGTAGCCCTGCGAGCGTACACACTGGCTATAGGAAGCGCCTAGGTTGCGCTACTTACCGCGTGTTCGTCCCTCATACAAACACGTCTCCGCCTACACCTGAGTTATCCCGCGCCGATCCGTCTTTACGAGTCTCCGATCCGTACGACACGCTCCGACGGGCTCTCGCCCGCTCCCTTCGTCCCTTCCACCCATGCTTTCTTGCCACGGCGGATGTTTCTGTGCCACCCTCCACCATTCTTCCCTTCCCCATTGTCGTACAGAGGCCTCCGTCAACACGTTGTGCGCAACCTGTGCCTGACTAGGACAGACGAAGCAAGCGAGGTTTTTTTGTT